GTGTGTGTGACTGTGTGTGTGTGAGTGTGTCTGTGTGTGTGTGTCTGTGTGTGTGTGTCTGTGTGTGTGTGTGTGTCTGTGTGTGTGCGTCTGTGTCACCTTGTTGCTGTCCGTGCTAAGAGCAGACAGGTCGACCGTCTTACTGACGAGGTTCTTCAGGATCTCCACCCTCTTCTCCGCCCGCTCCTCCAGGATCTCCCGCTCCTTCTCCAGGCGGTCGCTGACAGACACGTGGACAAACCTGCTGTTAAAACGTCACATGATCGCAGCACCGGTCACATGACGGCAGGCCTGCACTCACCTGTAGTCCTTCTCCATCTTTTTAAAGAGCTCCATGAACTCAGCGCTGACTTCTTCTCTGACCTGAGCCTCGAGAACGAGACGCAGCGCCGCCTCCCTGCCCTCCTGCTGAAACACGCACATCAGCAAACAGCACACCTGCTTTAAGCCCCTCCTCCCTTGTAGGGGAGACATTACTGACTGAAGCGCAAAGACTCCTGGTGGCGTTATAAACATCAGGATGTGCACGCCGTCGTTGACGTTTTAATGTAAGCGGCTGAAAACTAACATCAGTGATGACATCAGCAGGTTCAGCATCGTTACCTTCTCGTCCTCCTCCATCGTCACGTCCCACTCCTCCTCATTCTCGCCTCCTGCCTCCAGGACCGTTCCCTCCATCATGCTCTCCTCCTCCCCATCTTCCTCACCCTCTTCGCCATCTTCGTCCTCCAGCACGTCCTCCAGGCTCGTCTCCCAGGCGAGCAGCGAGCTCTTTCTGCCCCTCCCTGCCACGTTTCTGCGGCAGTCTGCCTCGTCGATGATCAGCGACAGCTCCATGGCCGACCTCTGGGAGGAGCCGGGACAGTCGGGGACCGTCGGCCTCGAGTTCAGCACCACCACCTGCGCCCAGGTGTCAACAGTCCTTAACACGTTTCAAGCAGGTCTCACGATGAAAACAGGAAGTCTGACATGCTCACTGACCTTCTGAGCCAGCGCCGAGAACTTGAGCACGTTGAGCGTCTCGTCGAAGCACGACGAGTTCTGGTTGATGTTGACCACCATGGAGACCCGCCCGGCACCACAGAAGAAGAACTGCAGGAAGTGTGTGAGCTTGGACTCCCTGAAGGGAATGTGGTGCTGAAACCTGCAGCGAGGACACAGGTACACACTCAGCCACGCCCACATGCACGCACTCAGGTACCTGAGGCCTGAAGGCACAGGTGTCATAGTTCTGACGGGATGATGTTACAAACAACAACAATAAGTAAAGTTGCTTTGATGGGAGCGTGGCGAGGAGATAACAGTGGCGGGCTGATGGCGACCCTCCATCAGAGCCGTTCTTACAAACTCAAACGTGCTCTTTGCCGCCACGTTCCTCGTCTGCAGTAATGAAATTATTTAGATCAGAGTAAAACGACGAGTTTAGTCAGGATGAGAAACATGACGTCATCACAGTAAATCATTTCTTCCGATGAGGACGCGCGGGCTCGTCCCGCCCCTCCGTGCAATAACCAAACGTCAGCGTGACTCTTACTTGGCGTTCTGGTTGAGCCTCATGGCGTGGATGCACTTTCCAAGCGTGAGCAGCGAGCTGTTGATGTTCCCTGCCTCCTTCAGCCTCTCGCCGGTGTTGTGCGTCCGCGAGCACCTCTCCGACCCGGCCAGGTCGCACAGCGCGAGTCTGAACACACATACAGAAGTGTCACCTGCACGCCCCGCCTCCGCCGCACACTCATTGCAGAACTGTGAGCCCGACTTACTCGCTGATGCCGAGGACTCTGGGAACACCGACGTCATCCACGCGCAGGATCCTGATGGAGAAGATGCTGTGGCTGCAGAACACAGAGTGGGCGTTACTGAAGCTAAACAACCGCAGGTGGAAACAGGACGACGGCGTCTGCTGCTGACCTCCTGCTGGACAGCTGGTTCAGGCGGGTGGAGGAGAAACTCTGGTTCCTCTTCCCGATCTTCATCACTCTGTACGCCTCCTCCGAACTGCTCACCTGGACCCAACGCAGGTCTGAGGGACATCGCAAACAGTCATTAAACGGCGCGGCGAGCCTCAGCGCCTCGCAGCCGGCTGCTTTGATTTAGAAACACCATGACAACAAGTGCACTCGGCCACACGAGTATTCGTGATGGTGAATATCTCGTGTCGACCACGGCAGGTTATCATCGTCACGGTAACCTACAGTGTCCCAATCAACTTATTTATTTTCAGCTCCTAGCAGGAACTTTCAAAATAAAAGCGCAGAGATCGTTTGGGAGGAACAGAGCAGCCGGTGTGAGAAACAGTGGATTCATCAAACACGTTTAATCATTAATATTAATGATCAGCGACTCAGCTTATCCGTGTAACAGGTTTGATTGCAATATAATAATCTGTCGTGCCCACCGACAGTCATGGATTTAAAGTACTTCCTGTGTGTGGCTCACATATTGCAGTGATTTCAGTGGGTGTGGCCATAGCTGGGCGGGACGTGACTGCGGACTAAACGAACTCCGACCCTCGGGCCGTCTGTGAGAGCGAGTGTTACCTTTGATGAACGAGTTTCCTTTCACGTCCTGAGACAGACGCAGGACCGTCCTCCTCTGCTGGCCGCCGGGAACCTGAACATCACACAGTCAGTCAGTCACATGGTCACAGGAGGCACAGCGCCCCCTGCAGCTGCACCGACACCACAGACAGCTGACACACATGCAGTAAAAGCAGCTGTAAACCGAGGGAATAAAGAGTAAAGCAGCCGTGCTCAGAGAAAACTGACACGTGTGTGTGTGTGTGTGTGCGTGTGTGACTCTGTGTGTGTGTGTGTGTGTGACTGTGTGTGTGTGTGTCTGTGTGACTGTGTGTGTGTGTGTCTGTGTGACTGTGTGTGTGACTGCAGCACGTGCTCAGTCCTGTTATTGGTTGGTAGCGGGTCAGCTGATCCTTATAAAACCAGAGAACAAAAAGAGGTGCCGGCAGAAGAAACCAGCCCTCGGGGACGAGAACCTACAGGTCAGAGGTCGTGACTGCTGAACACCGTTGATGCCCGGTGTCCATGTCAACACCTTCACTGAAGGGGACATCCCAACAAGAAAGAAGAAGGCTCCGGTTTCTTCTGCCTGCACTTCTTTTTGTCCTCTGGCTTTATAAGGATCAGCTGACCCGTTATCAACCAATAACAGGACTGAGCACGTGCTGCAGGCGCTCAGTAATTACAAGTTAAAGTCTCAGTGAGGAATGGTTTATTTGAAGAGTTTCAGTCAGGTTTCAGAGCTCATCACAGCACAGAAACAGCTTTAGTGAAGGTTACAAATGATCTTC